AATATTCATCAAGAAGTGCTTCAAATCATCTTCACTCTCAGCAAGCAAAGTTGTGTCATCTGCATATCACAGGTTGTTAATAAGTTTTTCTCCAATCCTGATGCCACTCTCTTCCTCATGCAGTCCAGCTTCTTGGATTATTTACTCACTATACAGATTGAATGACTATGGCAAAAGGAAACAACCCTGACACACTACTTTCCTGATTTTAAACCATGCAGTATACCCTTGTTCTGTTTGAACGACAACTTCCTGGTCTATGTACAGGATCCTCATAAGCACAATTCAGTGTTCTGTAATTCCCATTTTTCTCAATGTTATCCATAACTTATTATGATCCACATAAGCAAATGTTTTTCCATAGTCAATGGATGTCCTTTCTGGTATTCCTTCCTTTCAGCCAAGATCCATTTGACATCAATAATGATATCCCTCATTTCACATCCTCTTCTGAATCCAGTTTGCATTTCTGGAAGTTCTTTGTCAATATACTGCTGCAACCGATTTTGAATCATCTTCAACAAGATTTTACTTGCCTGTGATATTAATGATACTGTTGGATAATTTCCATATTCTGTGGAATCACCTTTCTTTGGAATGGGTACAACTATAGATCTCTTCCAGTCAGTTGGTCAGGTAACTGTCTTCCGAATCCCTTGGCATAGCTGAGTGAGTGCCTCCAGTTTGGCATCCATTTGTTGAAACATCTCAATGGGTATTCCATCAGTTGCTGGAAACTTGTTTTTTTGACACTTCCTTCAGTGCAGCTTCAACTTTTCTTTCAAAACCATTGGTTCTTGACCATATGCTACCTCCTGAAGTGGATGAATATTGACCGATTCCTTTTGGTTCAGTGACTCTGTGTATTCCTTCCATCTTCTTTTGATGTTTCCTGCATCATTCAATATTTTGCCCATAGAATTTTTCAACATGGCAACCCAAGGCTTGAAGTTTTTCTTCAGTTCTTTCAGCTTGAGAAACACTGAGCATGTTCTTTTCTTTTGGTTTTCTAACTCCAAGTCTTTGCACATTTCATTATAATAATTGACTTTGTCTTCTCAAGCTGCTCTTTGAAAACTTCTATTCAGCTCTTTTATCTTGTCATTTCTTCCATTTGCTTTAGGTACTCTCCATTCAAGGGCAAATTCAGAGTCTCTTCTGTCTTCCATTCTGGTTTTTTCTTCCTTTTCTGTCTTTTTAATGACCTTTTGCTTTCTTCATGGATGATGTTCTTGATGTCATCCCACAATTCCTCTGGTTTTCGGTCATTGGTGTTCAATGCATCAAATCTATTCTTTAGATGGTCTCTAAATTCAGGAGGGGTCCAATCAAGGTCATAGTTTGGCTTTTGTGGACTTGTTTTAATTATCTATAGCTTCAACTTGAACTTGCATATGAGCAATTGATGGCCTGTTTCACAATCAGCTCCTGGGCTTATTTTGGTTGAGGATAATGAGCTTTTCTATCTGCTCTTTTCACAGATGTAGTCAATCTGATTCCTGTGTACTCCATCTGGAGAAGTCTATGTGTATAGTCATTGTTTATGTTGTTGAAAAAAGGTATTTGCAATGAATAAGTCATTGGTCTTGCAAAATTCTATCATGCGATCTCCAGTGTTATTTCTATCATCAAGGTCATATTTTCCAACTATCAGTGATTCTTCTTTGTTTCCAACTTTCACATTCCAATCACCAGTGATAATCAACACATATTGATTGCGTGTTTGGTCAATTTCAGACTGCAGAAGTTGGTAAAAATCTTCAATTTCCTCATCTTTGTCTTTAGTGGTTGGTGTGTAAATTTGAATAATAGTAATATTAAGTGTTCTCCCTTGTAGGCATATAGATATTATCCTATCACTACACCATTGTACTTCAGGATAGATCTTGAAACATTCTTTGTGACAATGAATGCCATGCCATTCCTCTTCAATTTATCATTCCCACCATAGTAGATCATATGGTTGTTTGATTCAAAATGGCCAAAACCAATCCATTTTAACTCACTAATGCCTAGGATATTGATCTTTATGCATTCCATTTCATTTTTGACAACTTCCAATTTTCCTAGATTCATACTTTTTACATTCCATGTTCTGATTATTAATGGATGTTTGCAGCTGTTTCTTTCATTTTGAGTTGTGCCATGTCAGCAAATGGAGGTCCTGAAACCTTTACTCCATTCACATTATTAAGGGTGACTCTACTCCGAGGAGGCGGCTCTTCCTCAATCATATTTTGAGTGACTTCTGACCTGAGGGGCTCATCTCCGGAACTATATCAGACAATGTGTATCAGGGCTATTCATAAAATTTTCCAGTAATATATCAGATGGTGTTTCACTGCTATTCATAAGGTTTTCACTGGCCAATTCATTGACAAATAGATGACCTCTTCCTTCTTCCAAGGCTTTCTTAATCTGGAAGCTCCACTGAAACCAGTCCACCATGGGTGACCCTGTTGGTATTTGAAATACCAGTGGCATAGCTCTCAGCCTCACAGCAACACACAAGCCACCACAGTATGACAAACTGACAAATGAGTAGTGGGTATAAAGCTCTACAGAACTTTTATTTTTGTGTTACAGACTAGGGTAGGCAAGTTACATTGCAATTTGTACAGCACAGAATTTAAAATCTGTTTTTAAAAGACTTTTTACACTGGTGTTGCAGTGGTTAAAGCATTCAGCTGCTAACCAAAAGGTCAGCAGTTTCAATCCATCAGCCACTTTGTGGGGAAAAGATGAGGAAGTCTGCTTCCATAAAGATTTACAGGCTTGGAAACCCTATGGGGTGTGTGTGTGGGGGGGGCAGATCTAATCTGTTCAAAAGGTTGCTGTGAGTTAGAATAGACTATATCAATGGGTTTTTTTGCTTGTCCCAGCTTCAGACTGGCAACTTCCCTCTACCCAAAAACTTTCATCAGCCTTTCACCAGCTCTCTTCCCATTTCTTCTCTTTACTCTTTTCTTTCTCTTCCTTTCACTCTGTGGGGCAGAGCCCAGATCCCTTTATATTCTTATTTGGACTAGAGTACCTTCATTTATGGCTGACTCTTGCCCCCGGACTCTCACTTTTTATTCTTCAGGTCTCTCTTTAAACAAGATATTTTCTTCTTAAGAAGCTTTCAGTAACAGCCATCTAGATGCATATTTCTAACAAGCTGGTGATATTGATGCTGTGAGTCTGGAGACTACATTTTGAGAACCACTGTTGAAAGCCAACATCACTAGCCTTACTTGTAGATGGTGTTTTGGTTAACTAGTGCTGCTCTGACAAAAATATACCACAAATGGTATGGCCTTAACAAACAGGAGTTTATTCTCTTACAGTTCAGGAGGCTAGAAGTCTGAGTTCAAAGTGCCAGGCTCTAGAGGCTGGGTGAAAACCCCTCGACCTTGGGCTTCAGCTCTGCCTCTTGCTCCCAGCCCACTGAAGCTAGAGACATCTCTTCATTCAGGCAGCTACTGGCTGCTGAGGCTAACAAGCCCAAGGTCGACAAATAAAATGGCACAGTCCCAATGTTACAAACCACATGGTAGGTCATTAATTCAAGTCCATTGTAAGTCCCAAGGTTGGCAGAGCATGGCAGGCTGCTGAGCAATGACTCGTCTACATGCAGGGTCCAAGTGTGCCATAAGCTAGAGACCATTCCCAAAGCTGCTTCTTATATACGGGAAGCAGACCACATCCCTAAAGGAGTTATTCAGCTGCTCCAATACATTCCACCATGGAGTTAATTATCAATATCACCATGGGGAATAATTACATCCAACTGCCCATCCACTCAACCAGGCCTAGCCAAGTTAACACACAAACTTAACCCCAATTTGACACACAACTTAACCACAGAGATGGACACCAACAACAGTCAGTACTGACATTGTGGTCTTCCTGTCCCTTCCCCAAATGACCACACCCTGATATCTGGGACAGGCAATAAAGACAAATTATCCATCAATTAAATCACTGCATTTGTTTGTCTTCATTCATTATTGCACTCCCCATACTTCAAGGTGTCTTTAGTTCTTATGTAACCATCAGTGGAAATACCTAGTATGCTCAGATAAATTCTATTCATCCCAGGGGATGAAAAAAATCTATCAGCCTTGGCTCTGATTCCAGTTCTTGTAAATTGATATGAGGATGGGATGGAGTTGGGAATCTGGACCAAGAAATGTTATGAAACAGGACAGCAGAAGTCCACCAAGAAGGACACCAGAGTCCTGCTTTTGAGGAGAAAATGGGAAGTGACATTGATAATCCCATCAAGATCTAAACATTTAAACCACCAGTTTGGAAGAAAGTCCTCCTTTCTTAACCTTTCCACCAAGATAAACCTAGAAATAAAACACAGGTCACTTCTGAGGGTTACTCCCTTCATCTCATCCTCAGAAACCACATCTACTATACCCAAAGCAAGGTCCTGTTCTTGCAGCTGGACAATTTATAGCTGTAATCCTAATCTCAAAGTGGACCTGGAGCCAGAAAAAAAGAAAAATGCCAATAGGACCAAAGCCTGATTCTGGATCCTAAATGTCTTTTTCAGCCTAAACAAAATTCCAAATGCTGCCTGGCAGCCACAACCAAATCAGACCCAGGCCCACAGCTGGAGCCTGCAGAGACATGGGGGCTGCAAAAGGAAAACACATGCTGATCTGAAGTTTGTCTCCCCTGAGTTTACTGCTCCACCAGGAGGATGCTAAGGAGGGCTGCTTTGGGCAAAGGCACAAGGTCATGTCTCACTTGCTGCTCTCTCCCTGTGAAGGCCGGAAATCAGCATCCCCAGGGCCTAACCCAGATCTGCCTCACCCTGCTGGTGCAACACCAAGACTCCTCTGGGGTCCAGCAGTCAAACACTGCAGCTAACTGACTTTTGCTTCTAACTATAGTTCCTGAAAGCAAAAAATTTGAGAAGTGAAACTAAACATGCCATCCTGTTAGAACGGGGAAGGAAGAACAGCCCCCTTTCTATTGGGCTTGTTATTTTACTCTGGGTTATCATGCAAGGTCTCACGGTTGCCCTCCTTGCCTGGGCTCTGCTTCACCCTCATGGTGGTGGTGGTGGTGATGCCTGGCCCACACACACAGCCTGCAAGAATGGAGACTTGGAAGTGCTCTACCAGAGCTGCGGTAAGACCTTCAAAATATCCATTTGTGTTTATGGGGAAATTAAGGCCCCCAGATGTGGCCTGCTGAAGTGGTTAGCAGGTGTGGGTTAGGACAGAAGGAGCCAGCAGGGGAACACTTTCTCACCTACAGCAGGGCTGCATGCTTGGGCCACTGGGAGTTTTTGAGAGAAGGAAGGATAAGGAGTGGGAGAGTCTGACAAGAGAGACAAAGATAATGAGAGAAAAAAGAAGAAGAAGAAGAGTCTAAATATAGAAATTCACTAACACCATAGAGCCAGGAAAGAGCTAAAATAACTGATGAGACTACCAAGTCACGATCGCCAGTTCAAAGTAAGAAGATGATTCCAAAAGGCAAAAAATAGAAACTGTACACCTGGGCTACCTTCCCAGTTTATTTAATTTGCAACTTGTATGTAAAGATCATTTATCCCAAAAGAGAAGATCCTTGTCCCTTCTTCTTACGATAGTTCTAGAGCTTTAACTGCAGTAGTTATTGCTGATAGTTGCTGTCAAGTGTGCCCCAATTCATGGTAACCCCAGGCACAACAGAGCAAAATGCTGTGCCATCCCCATAATGGGTTGCAGATCAAACTGTTGTGATCCATTGGCTGATTTTCAGAAGTCAATCACCAGGCCTTTGTTCCTACTCCATCTTAGTCTGTAAGTTCTGCTAAGACCTGTTCAGCAACACAGCAATACACAAGCTTCTATTGACAGAGGGTGGTGGGCATGAAGTACATTAGCTGAGAACTGAACGTAGGTCTCCTACAAGAGTGGAGACAAATCTACCATTGAACTGCTGTAGTATCACTCATTAATTTAGCAAACATTTATTATACAGCTATCAATCCTGAGGAGGAGACCTGGTGACACAATGGTTAAGTGCTCAGCTGCTAACCAAAAGACTGACAGTTGTAAAAATGGCCTGGGGGTGGCATCTGACTTCCTCTAACTTCACAAGGGGGAAGAAAATCAAAACCAACAACCCAAGGCAGATTCTTATGACATGGAATTCAGACGTGTCTCCACCATCCAACTTTTTCACCAACTCTAACAGTACCTGTCCCACCCACAGCACTTTCTATTCCTCTGCTTTGTTCGATAATTTGTTCCAGTGGCCACACAGAACTTACAAACAATATTGATGATTATGAGGTTTATAATGGAAGTGATGTCATTGTTAGGTACCATTGAGTCAGTTCCAACTGATATTGACCATATTTACGATAGAATGAAACACTGCCTTGTCCTGCACCATCTTCATAATCATTTCTATATTTGAGCCCATTGTGACAGAAACTGTGTCAATACATTTAATTAAGGGTCTTCCTCTTTTTTTACTGGTCCTCCTAATAACATGACCAAATTTCAAGAGACAAAGTCTTGCTATCCTCACTTCTAAGGAGCATTCTGTCTATACTTTTCCCAACACAGATTTGTTTGTTTTTCTGACAGTCCATAGTATATTCAATATTCTCCCCTAACACCATAATTCAAATGAATCAATTCTTCTTCAATCTTCTTTATTCTTTGTCCAAATTTTGCATTCATATGAGGCTTTTGGAAATACCACGGCTTGTGAAAATTTTTGTTTTCTTTATGTTGAGGTGTAATCTGTACTGAAAGCTGTGGTCCTTGATCTTCATCAGTAAGTGCTTTGAGTCATCTTCACTTTCAGCAAGAAAAGTTGTGTCATCTGCATATTGCAGATTGTTAATGAGTCTATCTCCAGTCCTGATACTGCACTCTTCTTTGTATAGTCCAGCTTCTTGGATTATTTGGGGGTTTTATCAGTCTCTATCTGACTGGTAATCCTGGTAAAATTTTTATGCGTTAGAACTTTGTTCCACATTTTTCTCCCACTCTACCCAGGATTTCCAATGTTCATCCCTTTCCAAGTGGTTAGCATTCATAGCCAGGCATCATTTAGTTCTTCTGGTCTCAGAGTTGTGTAGGCTGAGATGTCCATGGTCCATTAGTCCCTTGGACTAATTGTTTCAAAAAAAAAAAAACCTACTGCCATCAAGTCAGATCCTACTAATAGTGACCCCTCCTTGGGTTTCCGAGGCAGTATCTCTAAGGAAGTAGATTGCCCAACCTTCCTTCCAAGGAGTGGCTGGTGGGTTTGAACCATCAGCCTTCTGGTTAGCAGTCAAATGCCTTAGGCACTATGCCACCAGAGCTCCAGACATCTTTAATTTTCTTGACTCATTTTTGCTCTGGACAAAGAGAGACTAATAGTTATACCTTCGATGGCCAATTGCAAGCTTTTAAGAAACCAGTCACTACTTACCAGAGTAGAATGTAGAACAATGTTTTTTGTACTGTGTTGTGCCAAATGAGCTTGAAACCATGGCCCAGAACCCATAGGGCCAGAAACTCACTCCCTCAAGATGCTTGGCTATAGCTAAGAAGTTACCTTAACCGTGCCACCTGTTAGCTCTAATAGATAGATAGATAGATAGATAGATAGATAGATAGATAGATAGATAGATAGATACAGATATTATATACATATATATATAATATACATGCTATATATATGTATATATAATTTTGTGATTTAGGTGAAAGTTTACAGAGCAAATTCTTTTTCCATTCGACAGTTTATCCACTTTTGTTTTCATGACATTGATTGCAATCCCCATAATGTAACAGCTTTGTTCTCAATTCCTCCCTGTGGTTACCTTTCCCCTGTGTCCTTTCCTATGTATCCCTGCCCTCTGAGTTATCTCCTGTTGCAAATGCTGCCCTTCTGATCTCCCTTGGTTGATTGTTCTAAAGAGTATACCTACTGGTGCAATTGTTCACCTTGTAGGCCTGTCTATTGTTTGGCTGGAAGCCACAGGAATGAGTTTAATTTCAGGTCCAAAAGGTGACTAGGGGCCAGAATCTTGGGGGTTTTATCAGTCTCTATCAGCCAGTTCTCTTTTATGATTTTGAGTTTTGTTCCACATTTTTCTCTCACTTTCTCCAGGATCTCCTATTTTGATCCCTTTACAATTGGTTGACAGAGGTAGCCAGGCACTATGTAGTTTTTTGATCTCTAGGAGCTCTATTGTATATATGGACATTTTTATAACACATGCAAGTAAGTATGTAGAAATGTCATCTGCCAAACCATTCTTCTTGGAAGAGAGAATGGCCAGACTTCGTCTCACCTACCTTGGTCATATTGCCAAAAGGAACCATTCCCTGGAGAAGGATATCATGCTTGGTAAAGTGGAGGGTCAATAAAATGGATAGACACAGTGGCTGCAATGATGGGCTCAGGTATAGCAAAGATCAAACACAAGGCAGTGTTTCGTTCTGCTGTGCATAGGGGTCTTATGAGTCAGAGACGACGTGACGCACCTAATAATAACAACAACAAATATGGTCATGAATATATTCCCATTCACCTACCCATACCTGATCATCTTGATTATCTATCAATGTATCTACCCATAAATCAGTTTCTTATTACTGATAATGTAGTATTGTGTGTGTGATAGTATATACTTTTGTTGTCTGTCCCTCATGTGCACTTCTCCATGTCTTCCTTTTCTTTAATGATATTGTGTTTGTCACACACTTTTGTTATATTGCCTTTCCCTTCATCCAAATAAATGCACGTCTTTTAACTAGCTAGCAATTTTCCTTTCCCTCTCCTCCCAACCTTTTGACTTCTTCATGTATGATGTCTTTGATGTCATCCCACAACTCATCTGGTCTTTGATCATTAATGTGCATTACACTAAATCTATTCTTGAGATGGTCTCTATATTCAGGTGTGATATATTCAAGGTCACATTTTAGCCCTCATGGACTTGTTTTAATTTTCTTCAGCTTCAACTTGAAATTGCATATGAGCAATTGATGTTCTGTTCTGCAGATGGCCCCTTCCCTTGTACTGACATATTATTGAGCTTCTCTATCATCTCTTTCCACAGCTATAGTTGATCTGATTTCTGTGTATTCCATCTGTTGAGGTCCTTGTTATAGTCATTGTTTATGTTGCTGAAAAAAAAGTGTACTTGCAACAAATAAGTAATTGGTCTTGTAAAATTCTACCATGCAATCTCCAGTGTCATTTCTATCATCAAGGTCATATTTTCCAATGATTGATGCTTATTCTTTGTTTCAAACTTTCATATTGCAATCACCAGTATGTAGCAATACATCTTGATTGCATATTTGATCAATTTCAGACTGCAGAAGTTGGTAAAAATACTCAATTTCTTTGTCTTTGACATTAGTGGTTGGTGCATAAATGTGAATAACAATCATATATGCTGATCTTCCTTGTAGGTATGTAGATATTACCTTACCACTGACAGCATTGTCCTTCAGGATAGATCTTGAAATGTTCTTTTTGACCATGAATGCAGTACCATTCCTCTTCAATTTGTCATTCCCAGCACAATAGACCATATGACTGTCCAATTGAAAATGGCCAATAGTAGTCCATTTAGTTCACTAACACTTAGAATATCAATCACAATGCATTGCATTTCATTTTTTACAACTTTCAATTATCCTAGATTCATACTTCAAACATTCAACATCCCAATTCTTAATGGATATCTGCGCTAGTTCTTCTCGTTATAAGTAACATCACATCAGCAAATGAAGGTCCCAAAGCTTTACTCCATCTACATCATTTAGGTTGACTACTTTGAGGAGCATCTCTTCCCCAGTTGTATTTTTGATGTCTTCTAACCTGAAAGGCTCATCTTCTGGCATTATATCAGACAGTGTTTCTCTGATAGTCATAAGGTTTTCAGTGATGAATTTTTTCAGAAGTAGACTGCTATGTCCTTCTTTCTTGTCTGTCTTAATCTGGAAGCACAGCTGAAACCTGTTTACCATGGGTGACCCTGCAGGTATTTGAAATACAGTGGCAGTAACACAGCAACATGCAAGCCACTGCAGGATGACAGACAGATGAGTGGTAGTATTAGGGAAGTAACAGATTACAATTCAGGATCAGAAACAACTCAGGATACAGTTCTTCAGTCA